TTCTTCTCCAGCTATGTTTTCTCATTGGCAAAGAGAAACACATTGGGTGAGTTTCCCAAATAGCTGTTGGACTAAAGCAAACATTTGAAGACTGTGGCTGATGTGTGAATAGATAGAAGACCCTCATGGATTCTGGGTTACAAGATTAAAATAAGCACTTGCTGATAAAGATAGGAGAAAAAAGTCCTCCTTATTTTGAATGTCTATCCAGGTAGCTATGGGTTTTTCAAACCTGGTAAAATGTATTCCCAGTGCCTAGCACTCTGGCTGATCCATAGTCAACACTTAGTGGATACTTAGCAAAAAATATTGATTTTGCTTCCTCTCCAAGGAAGCCTTTGAGACAATGATTGAGGCTCACTGAAATGGACAGGGCTTGACAGAACAAAATGGCAGACTCCTCAGCATAGCTAATTGCCCATGTCTAGAATTATTATTCCATGACAGATAGTGGGGTTTTATTTATTTATGCCAGCCCAGAAATGCCAATGCAGACAAGATCATGTTTCCTAGAGACTGGCCACTATCTGGAGATCATATTTTTCATCTGCCTTTGGCTCATGCTATGTAACCCAAAGCATATAAGTATCCACTAAAAGATAATTAAAACTCATCCTATATAATAAAGAGCTAATATGCAAATGGTTGTCATGCCCTCATGCCCTTGCGCCAGGGCCAGGGAACCTGAGGCTGCGCCAGGGGACGTGAGGCCGCGCCCCCTGCCTGGCACCAGGCCAGGGGACCTGAGGCTGCGTTCCCTGCCTGGAGGGGCTTGACGGGGAACCTGAGGCTGCACCCCCCACCCCGGCGCTGGGGCCAGGGGACCTGAGGCTACGCCCCCCCACCCTGCTTGACTACCATCTGCTTGACTGGGGTGGGGCCGGCCAGGTCTGGGTCTTGCATGATTTCGAGGCGTGAGCAGGTGAGCGGGGACTTGACTCTGGGTCCCGTGGTGCACCCCAGACTCTGAAAAGAGGGAGATTTTCATATACATTTTACTAATTTTCTTTCATCTCTGACACTTCTATTATAGAGAAAGGCCAAATAGCAATATTAAAATATTTTCTCTAATTAATTACCTTTTAATTGCACAAATTTCGTGCACCAGGCCACTAGTTATTTTATATTTACATTTTCCAGTTGATATTAAGAATTTTCCTGGCAGTCAGTAATATCCTACTATGGTTACAAATATCAAAAAATTTCTATATGTGACACGGCACCAGAGTTAAGTTAGTGTTTTTCAAAATGCTGACACGCCGAGCTCAAAAGGTTCGCCATCACTGCTCTAAGCAGAACTAGCCTCATGCCAAATTTTGAAAGAGAGGCCCCTCCCTCGCCCCTCTAAAAGAAAATGAGATCATTGACATTGGATACTCAGTGGGAGAAAAAAAAAGAATATAATCAAAATAGCCGTGGCTAACACTGCTTGAGTGTTAGCAAGTACCTGATGCTTCCGAGCAGTTCACAAGCAGTAAGTCTATGGGGTGAAGATTGTGTTTTCCTGCTTTTAGGGAAATTAACTTGCCCAAGGTCACAGCTGATAAGCGGCAGACCTGCACTAATTTATGATTCCAAAACTATTAACCACTAAAAACAGCACTTCTCCAAGTGCAATCAGTGGGATACTCCACTCAAATCATCCGAGGGTTCCACTGAAGTGCACATTCCTGGGTCCCCCTCTGGCCATTGGAGCCAGGCTCTGGGGGTGAGACCCAGAAACCTGCATTGTGAAAACCTCCTGGAGAAGAGTCTTCTAGGCACTAAAGTTGGTGAACCTCCTCACTGATCATGCTGGAAGCTGAGTGAACCCTGGGTCATTAGGGACCTTCTGGGTGCCAAGCTGTGAATCAAGTCGCTCCCTGTTTTGCATACTTGACAACCAAAGAAAATTAGTTTCTCTCCAAAGCCCCAGTGTCAGCAGACCCACCTCTGGCCCTGGGAAAGGCCAGCAAAATTACGTAACGATTTTAACTATGATGTACCGCCATGCCGGAGGGGAAATCTGTTTGAGACCTCAGGTGGTGAGGGAGGAAGGCGAAGGGAGAGGATTGATGAATTCTGTCTGTGACTGGATTCTCTGACTGAGACTGCGCAAAGGGAGTCCCTCTCACCCAGCGGTAAGATCTTTTCCACATCACATTTCTTTCAAATGAGTGAGATGCAGCAGCATCGTGTCAGAGTGGAAAACAGCTTGATTTCGCCTGTGTCTGGTGTGCAAGCTCTATGGCTTGGGAGAGATCCCCATCGCTCCTATATTGGTAGGGCTTTGGGGGAACAGTTGTTGATGACAACCTAACCCTGGGAATACAGGGAAGATGGGAGCTGGGAGTTATAGGGAAAGGTGGAAGAGCAGGGGAGAAGACAGAAACAGGGGAGCAGGCGAAGAGATGTCTACACTCTCAATATCCTGTAACATCACAAGGCTCAAGTAGCAACATTTTTTTTTTAACTTTCAGAATCTCAAAACATATTAAAAGCATGTACTTCGCTTCAATTGACCCCTATTGATTGCAAGAAATGACACTCGGGATTTTCTTAACTTGACATCTATTTAAACATAAAGGCTTAGGAGCACAGGGTACATTTAAAATACAGGCACACAAAGTGTATTAACTCTTTCACTGATCCTTCATAATAGTATGTGAAAATGAAAAGCATTTGGGGTAAAAAAAGAAAAAAAGGCAGGGTGAAAGAATTAGGAGAGTTTTCACTCTTCTCCATTTGAATTTCCATTTCTAGCAAGGATTTTGTCATATGCGTCATAGAGGACAGTGGCTCTCAAACCAGAGGATCCCTATTAGGATTCAAGGTCCTTCAGATGGTCTATGGGCTGGTAGGAACAGTGATGTGCTCTCTTCTTCTCCAGCTATGTTTTCTCATTGGCAAAGAGAAACACATTGGGTGAGTTTCCCAAATAGCTGTTGGACTAAAGCAAACATTTGAAGACTGTGGCTGATGTGTGAATAGATAGAAGACCCTCATGGATTCTGGGTTACAAGATTAAAATAAGCACTTGCTGATAAAGATAGGAGAAAAAAGTCCTCCTTATTTTGAATGTCTATCCAGGTAGCTATGGGTTTTTCAAACCTGGTAAAATGTATTCCCAGTGCCTAGCACTCTGGCTGATCCATAGTCAACACTTAGTGGATACTTAGCAAAAAATATTGATTTTGCTTCCTCTCCAAGGAAGCCTTTGAGACAATGATTGAGGCTCACTGAAATGGACAGGGCTTGACAGAACAAAATGGCAGACTCCTCAGCATAGCTAATTGCCCATGTCTAGAATTATTATTCCATGACAGATAGTGGGGTTTTATTTATTTATGCCAGCCCAGAAATGCCAATGCAGACAAGATCATGTTTCCTAGAGACTGGCCACTATCTGGAGATCATATTTTTCATCTGCCTTTGGCTCATGCTATGTAACCCAAAGCATATAAGTATCCACTAAAAGATAATTAAAACTCATCCTATATAATAAAGAGCTAATATGCAAATGGTTGTCATGCCCTCATGCCCTTGCGCCAGGGCCAGGGAACCTGAGGCTGCGCCAGGGGACGTGAGGCCGCGCCCCCTGCCTGGCACCAGGCCAGGGGACCTGAGGCTGCGTTCCCTGCCTGGAGGGGCTTGACGGGGAACCTGAGGCTGCACCCCCCACCCCGGCGCTGGGGCCAGGGGACCTGAGGCTACGCCCCCCCACCCTGCTTGACTACCATCTGCTTGACTGGGGTGGGGCCGGCCAGGTCTGGGTCTTGCATGATTTCGAGGCGTGAGCAGGTGAGCGGGGACTTGACTCTGGGTCCCGTGGTGCACCCCAGACTCTGAAAAGAGGGAGATTTTCATATACATTTTACTAATTTTCTTTCATCTCTGACACTTCTATTATAGAGAAAGGCCAAATAGCAATATTAAAATATTTTCTCTAATTAATTACCTTTTAATTGCACAAATTTCGTGCACCAGGCCACTAGTTATTTTATATTTACATTTTCCAGTTGATATTAAGAATTTTCCTGGCAGTCAGTAATATCCTGAATCTCAAGGAAAATAAAAATGTTCATGTTTCAAAGTGATAATAATGATAAGAAGGCAAATAAGCCTGGCCAGTGGTGGGCTTAGAAGGAGTCAATGGGGAAAAAAGGGGTACATCTGTATAACTTTCAATAAGAAAGATAAATTTTTAAAAATAAAATAAAAATAAAAAGAAGAGGAAATTTCCTTCTTAAAAAAAAAAGGCAAATAAAATAGGAGCAGAAACACATTGCAGCCTAATACCCGTTTTCTCTGAGAAATACCCAACACATTTGAACCAAAAATCTAAGAGGAACTCTAACTGAACCCTCTTCACAGGAGGTTCAGCCACAACTATAACAAAATGAATTGTCTCCATTTAGTTTATGATGCCATCAGCATGTACAGCCATCAGTGTATGTGAAGTAATTGTGTCAGTTGGTTTTCACTACATTGGGCTGCAATTACAAACACAAATCTCAGTGGCTTATGACAACTCAGGTTTGTTCCTCACTCACGTACATGAGAGCAGGTCATCTGCAGCTGTGCCCCGGTTGTCATTATTCAGAGTCTGATGCGGAGGACAGGCTATTCTCAAACAGAGAGCAAAGGGCAAAGCATTGCAACAGCTCTTAAAACTTATACTTGGCCCTTGCAGTACATCATATCCACTCACATTCCATTGATCAAAGAAAGTCCATGGCTAAGGTCACTCTCAGTGAGACAGCGAAGTGTGCTCCATGCACAGGAAGGCACTAAAAGCCATCTGGCTGTGGGAAGAGGTGTATCATCCTCATAGTGTCCTCTGCCACAGGAATCATGACAGTTAATATTTCTCACTTAAGGAAGTAGTGCCCGCATTCTAACTTTGTCGCCTCTGCAACTAATAACCAAAGATTATAAGTAGTTTAATAATTTTCCCCATTGCCCCCACATTGGCTAGACAAAGCCCTACCTCATTTCCTCTGGTCAGCTGTCCCACTCACCATGCAGGGAAAGAGTTCCATTCCTCACAGCCAGGAACTTGACTCCATATGGAAAAAAGGGGGTAGAGCGGGAACTCCCATACAATGTGATCTCAGCTTGGCCTTGGAAGGGCTTGTCCTCAGATCCAATCCGGAGCTCTCCACCATCAGAAACAAGGATGGAGTGCGCCCTGAGCTCAATGGTTCCTTGGTCCATGAAAATCAGCTTGCCTCCTAATGGCCACAAAAGAAGCTAGTCAGTCTTGTTGACAATTCCAATGTTTGCTGTGTTTATATTCTCTTGTAGAAGCACAATTGAGTGGATCAAACACCCAGACCCAGAAGCTCTGTATTACCAAACCAGTTTAGATTAGTTATTACTATTCATTGCTCCTTTATTTATATTGTTTTTAATAACAATAGCCTAAATGTCCAGCAATTTAGGACTGGTTAAATAAGTCATGAGAAAGTCATAATTTTTACCATTTAACAGCAAATAAAAGCAGCATATAAAAATTCAGTTAAAACCCTGCCAGGGTATTTCCATGGTTAGAGCATCAGCCCACACACCAAAGGGTCCTGGGTTCAATTCCTTGTCAAGGGCATGTGCCTGGGTTGTAGGCTCCAACCCCGGCCAGGTCAGGGCATGTGCAGGAGGCAACCAATCAATGTGAGAGATGTGTGTCTCTCATATTGATGTTTCTCTCTCTCTATCTATCTATCTCCTCCTCTCTTCCCTTCCACTTGCTCTGAAAATCAATGGAAAAAAATATCCTCAGGTGAGGATTTTAAAAAAAAAATCAGTTTAAAAAAAAAAAACTGGGTAACAAGTGAACAGGAAATAGGAATAGAAGAAAATGTGTCAAAATTATAAGAACTGTGGTAAAAGGAAGTGTAATTAGGGCTACCATCATGACATGTGTAACATTTTAACTGACCAACAACCACTGTACTTTTCATAATAGACTCTAATTTCCTGAAGGATTTGCTCTGCTCTATAGAAAAGAGTTGAGTGGGACTGTCAGTCGTGGTGTCCTATCCTACTTAGCCTGAGTCATGTACCCAGACTTCAAAAGGAAATCTGGAGCAAAGGGAAGAGATGACTGGAAATGTTTAGACCTCAGTAATTCTAGTGGTGATACATAATAAGCCCAAAAAGAGTTCCTACTTCTGAACCCCCCATCTGCCAAGCCCCTCCAAAACTCCCTGAATGCTATTACTTCTACACCTGATTTTACACACTTCCCATCAATTCTGTAAGCTACCCAATACCTTCTCAATAAATTTCCTTTATCTATCTGTTTTTGTTCTTCTTAATTCTTTTCCTCTTTCCTATGAGTTTGAATTTCCTATGAATTTTCTATGACTTTGTTTTATTTTTTTTGTTTATTTTGCATTTTAGATTCCATATATAAGTGAAATCATACAATATTTATGCCTTTTAAAAAGATAATTGCAATCAAATAACCTTAACTGATACAGATACTGTTTTGCTCTAATATTGAAATTTTTTGTTAAATAGGAATGTTATCCTATATAATAAAAACCTAATATGCTAAGTGTCCAGTCATCCAGTTCAACCAATCAAAGCGTAATATGCTAATGATATGCTAAGGCCACTCAACCGCTCACTATGATGTGCACTGACCACCAGGGGGAAGACACTCCAACTGGTAGATGAGCTTGCTGCAGGGGCCCGGCCGATCAGACTGCCCAAGATGGGCCGGACATGCCATGGAGCCCTCCCGTGGTACCTCCCCAGCTGGCCAACCTCCCAGGTCCCGCCCCAGCCCCAATTGTGCACATCCCTTCCCAGTCCTGATTGTGCACCAGTGGGGTCCCTCGGCCTGGCCTGTGCCCTCTTGCAATCCAGGACCCCTCAGGGGATATCGAAGAGCCAGTTTCAGCCCGATCCCACAGGACAGGCCAAGGGACCCCCCCCACTGGTGCACGAATTCCATGCACCAGGCCACTTAAAACTAGTGGCCCAGTGCACGAAATTTGTGCATGGAGGGGGGTCCCTCAGCCCAACCTACACCCTCTCCAATTGGGGACCCTTTGGGGGATGTCCGGCAGTTGGACATCCTCTCGCAATCTGGGACCGCGGGCTCCTAACTGCTCACCTGTCTGCCTGCCTGATTGCCCCTAACCCCTCTGCCTGCCTGTCTGATCACCTCTAACTGCCTCTGCCTGATCACCCCTAAATGCCCTCTCCTGCCGGCCTGATCTCGCCCCCAACTGCCCTACCCTGCCAGCCTGGTTGCCCCCAACTGCCTTCCCCTGCCGGCCTGATCTCACCCCTAACAGCCCTCCCCTGCTGGCCTGATCTTGCCCTCACTGCCCTCCCTTGCTGGCCTGGTTTCCCCCAATTGCCCTCCTCTGCAAGCCTGATCTCTCCCCCAGTGGCCCTGCCCTGCCGGCCTGATTTTGCCCCTAACTGACCTCCCCTGCAGGCCTGATCTTGCCCCCAACTGCCTTCCTCTGCTGGCCAATTTGGTTCTGATTGGTCTATTTCTATGCCAGTCAGTGTCAAAAGCTCTGCCTCCTAGCAGCCATTCGCTCCTCATAGCACCCAGATTCTGTTCTGATTGGTTGGTTCCTATGCCAGTCAGCATCAAAAGCTCTGCCTCCTAGACAGCCATTGGTTCTTCACAGCACCCACATTTGGTTCTGATTGGTCAGTTCCTATGTCAATCAACGTCAAAAGCTCTGCCTCCTAAGCAGCCATTCACTCTTCATAGCACCCAGATTCTGTTCTGATTGGTCAGTTCCTATGCCATTCAGCGTCTCTGGGCCTATAAACGGGGCCTGATCAGAAAGGCATGGCTGATCGGCAGCCCCGGTAGAGGCCTGGAGAGAAATGGAGGCATGGCTGCTGGAGAGAAAGAGAGAGGCAAGTGCTGATCAAAAGCTGCCACAGAGGCAACAGATCAGTCCCTGCTTCTCTCTGGCCCTGATTCGCAGCCTCCTCAGCAGTCAGCACTGGGTTCCTACAGGACTGACTTCCAGTTGGTCGAGCCTCAGTCATGACCTGTCATTACGACCCAGGGTTTTTATATATTAGGATCATTTGTATATCATGGGAATAAACACTTAGGATATTAAAACATACTTTCATTATTTTAATACTTTCCTTTAAGAGGATTTAAAATCTTTATATTTTAAGCAGAATTTTTTCAATAGTGTCAAAATAATTAATAATTAAACACTTTAACCTGGATGAGCTATTAAATCTATCTCCCACTTTGTAAGTGGTTTGCAAAAGTACTGCACTAGACTCTTCAATCCTCTAAGAAAGTGGTCAGGGTTGCGACTTTATATTGGGAACACCTGGGTCTTCTTTTCTGAACCCCATAGTAACTTTCCATCTCATTCAGAATAAATCAAAGTCCTTACATTGGGCTACAAAAAGCCCCTTTTGATTTGCCACCCCATCTCTGATACCCCCGCATCATCATCTTTTAAAACTCACTTTGTGACTCATCTGTTGCAAACACACTGGCCTGCTTGTTGGTTCTCAAACAAGTCAGGCTTGTGCATATGTTCTTCCTGCACCTGGAATGTTCTTCTGCAGATACCCATGTGCCTCACTCCCCCTTGTCTCTATTCAAGGGTTAATTTCTCACTACGGCCTTCCTCTCCAGTCTATGTAAAATAGAATGCCCTTACCTCTGACTAAGGATTTGCATGGCAGGACTCTTCCATCATAAATAGTCAGGAAATCTGAACTGAACTTGATGAGCAAGTGGTAGAGGTAGGATATCGAATCGAGGTTCCTGTCCTGATTCCACCGTTGGCCTCTGAATGACCCTCAGGGAGACCCATAAAATTGCTGGGCCTCGGAGGATTACTCAGTTCCCAAACCTGTCCTATTCAGGGCCTAAGGATGGTCCCTTCTCTCATTGGTGAAGTGGAGAGTAGATGCATGCATTCACTCTGCTCTGGGACATCTGACATCTACATCTGTAAGAACGCAGTCAGGTGTGTGTTGGACATTGATAGAAACACAAAACCCATGTTTTCCTGACATCACCTCTGCTGTAGTGAACTTGGAATTTTGATCAAAAGAGATACAACACAAACAGGCAATGATTCAAATAAGACCACAGGGAAAACAAAGGAGCTAACATTTATTAAGAACCTACCATGCGCCAAAATCTTTAGATACGTTGTCTGAAATGACCTTCAAAATAAGACTATGAGGTCAATATCACCCTCCCTGTTTCACAAAACTGGGTGGGCTGCCAGAGAGGCTGTAATTCCTCTTTCAGTCCAGAACTGGCCGAGGAAGCTTTAGCACCTGGGACCACCTGACAGAGACACTCATGTCCTATCTACTTCCGCAAACACTCCCAGGTAGCTCTTTTATTAATTAGGTTTGTTATCAGAGTTACACTTAAGGAAAAACATGTGTTAGCCTAAGTACATTTGCCTATGGCTTGTTTATATATGATTTCTTTTCATTTTGTTAATGTAGATATACCTTGCCTCATTCCAAAAAGGATTTGAGACAGATTACAAGGATTAGTGGGTAAATATATAAACCTGGCCTTTATCCCTTGTACCATCAAGCAAAATATTAAACACACTGAAACAAATCGATAGTCGTTTTAAAATGTCACGGGAATTAAGAATGACGTTAATGAAGGGAGAAAAGCTCAGCCCAAAGAAAATGAATGATTTGTGTTGGCAACAGTACGATAAACAGGACCAATTAATTAATGTGATCACCGTTATTCTGTGCTACAAAGAATTCCCTCCTCACTTTATCAGTGACAAGTATAAAGAAATCGAGGTAAGTTCAGAAGAGATTTGATAAGGAATTCAGCTATTTTTTATTAAAATAATTGTAAGTGATAACCAAGGTGAAAGCTCCTTGGTGTGAAAGAATGTAAAGTTTAGTTTTAATCTAGCTCTGTGCCAGGACCCCAGGTGTTTCATCATCACACTTTCATTAGCTTAAAATAAATACACAGGGGGTGGGGGGGGGGCTGCTTTGAAGGAGAGTCACTGGAGGACGGGAGGGCAGTGGGAGGACTCGAGTTCTCCACTTGATGGAACTCGGATCCATTTCTGAAAGCTGAAATAAAGAGCAAGGCTAAAATCAGCCTTTGGCTGTGACCCTTAAATTGCTTGTTATGATTGTTCATGAAAGCTAAGTATGTCCCACAAGTGACCTTGGGTAATTTTATAAAAATCAATCAACCATCATTATTGTTACTTCCCCTCTAAAA